TAACATTAATGACATACCTAAGGAGAACTGCAGCCCAGAGCAGTGGGATAATTGCAGCAGAGAGCCAGTTTGTTACGGAGGCTACCCATCACTGTCAAGACACGGTGTGCAGACCATACCTTGAGAGAGCTGGAGACAATCCAGGACCTGTGTAAAACTCCACAGCCCTGACTCACCACCAAAAGCAGCGAGATTAATCATAAATATTATTTGGAAACAGAGAGGGACATGCCACTTGTTTTGCTCTGCAAATTCCACTCACTCCAAAGCTCTCCCCTTTGCAGAAGTGGCAGTCAGGTATCTACATTTTCGGACACCATACAGGATGAACAACACGCTGAAGATGCTGCATATGGATTATTTGCACATGTTGGTAGTATCCCGCTGCATCCACCTGCTCTGCAAACATTAATCACTTGCTCATCCCCAGTGCCAAGAGCCCACCTGCCTTTCCAAGCCTGGGAAATGTCAGGGAGACACCAGGCACAAGAGCTAACTCGATGCTGCTCTCTCCAATCCAGCCCATGCAGAATATCAAATAATTGATCTACCTGGTAGAAGCGGTGATTGGAATTGATACAAGGGAAAACGTCATTATTATAAAGGTTGCAGAGCAGCAGAATAAATGACCTATCACTCAGTAACATTTAAGACCAACTTAGATGATTAACTCTGAGGGACCACCTAACCGCAGGCTGCTTGGTGTGGTGGGGATGGTGGAGAAGTCCTCCAGTCCCAGGTTTCTGCAAGTCTGACCCAATCTTCCACCACTCTGCCAAGATGCCCCAAGTAGGATCCTACACTAGACTTGGCCAAGTGCCGCAGGACTTGGCCAAGGGTTCTCAGGGGTTTCTCTGTCACGTGGGATGAAGAAAAAGACCCACAACACGGAAAACATGAAGTTACAGTTGGTTCAGAGTTGTGAATAGTACAAGGGAAAAGGAAAAGGAGAAAATGGATACGTGCTCTATCAGCAGATCAAGATGTGAACGTCACATCTGACCTCATCCATCCAGGATATCCTCATCCTGATGTCAAAAACCAGCACCAAAAAACAACCTCAACGTCAATGAGGCTAAAGGCAAGGAAGTTAATCGTCATAAGGTTTGGATAAACAGACTTTTCCACCAGAAGACCTAATCCTATCTGCACCTTGAAGGCACCTGCAACAATACAGGACAAGGAGATTTCATTGAAAAATTAATCAAAATGAAGCTGCCTGGAGCTGGAGGAGCCTCCTCCCAGCCCAAACCTGACCTAGGTACACCACAAAAACTGTGTCCTCTCCAGCAGCTGCTTCACATTAGCCCTCGGTAGAATTCAGCATTTCTGCCAGGGCTTGGCCCTGTCTGGTCACGCTGCTTTAGTTCTGTCGATACGCTCTGATCCTCCCTCCCCAGCTGCTGGCCAGAAGCTATTCTTTGAAGGCCATGAAGTTCGTGAATTTGGCCAGACACCAGCGTGGCCCAAGGAACCACAACTGGGAAGCGGATGAAATTTTGGGCACACCTCCCTTTCGCACGGCATGAAGGATGAAGACCACCCAACCACTGCTTTGGGGCAGGACACCTCAGGGCAGACCTTGCCTCCAGCCTGCTATTTTCCACCCACCCTTCCAAGGGTTAACACATGTTCTTGAGCTGGCTTTTAACTAGCTTGACTTTTGTTCCCCAACTAATGTATTTTTAAGACCTTCCAATCAGAGTTTGGGTGTTTTTTCTGACTTCTTGCTGATGAATAATCATTAACTATCCATGAAAGGTCTAAATGGCCCGTGGAATTCATGAGGTATTAAATGGGCATTATATTATCAACCACTCTAAATGTTTTGTTTCCGTTTCAAGACCATTCATGAGATGTTTATGGATTGTGGATTTATGGAAGCCAGGGGATCTTTTTAGGAGTAATGTTCCGTACCCCAGAGTTACGGTCAACAGCTGGAGGCTCCGTGCAGGAAAATCTGAGGTTGTAAGCTCAAAAAAATTAACCCCTGCCTCAGAAGATTTCAGCATACAAAAAGCAGTGGATTAAACCCTAGAAATAAACCCTGAAATAGAAAACACAAGCGAAGTTGTGAGCTGTCATCAAGAGTCAAGTGGTACTTGGTGGCCTTGCCCCAGAGAGGACTTGCTCTCCCAGATATAAGGTGGTGGTTTACTTTTGTGCCTGCACAGAAATGGAAAAATCTGTGGGGGTAGCCCCGCAGCACGCTGACAGCTTCACTCCATCAATACTGACCCACAGCTCATGGGGAGAGAGCTTTTTTGCTATTTCCAAGGGCATCCCTGACTCCCCAGAGCCCAGTTAACCCCATCCTGAGATGGAGCACACCAGATGGGGAGATAAATCAGCCGGAGGGACACCAGTCTCTCTCTTGGGATGGTTTCAGATGGGTCCCACCAGAAAGCGGTCTGCAAAGAGGCAGTATGGGGGTAAATCTAGATCCAAAATAGCCCCAGGGAATCCCACCCAGCACTTGGGGTCCCCAGCAGTGTCCCCAGAATATCAGCTCTCCAGGTCTAACACTGGGATGCGATACAGGGAACCGAAAGCCAAGAGACGAAGCAAACCAAGAGCCTGCTGGCAGAACCAAAACCCAAAAGGATTGATCAGAGAAGTCTTGAAATAATTTTTCAGGGATGAGTCCATTTCGTGTTCGAGATCAGGAGAAAGCATCCCTCCTGCAGAGAGCACAGAGGACTCAGACACTGCTGAAGTTATGACACTAAAAAAACCTACCCTACAACACATGGGCATTGCATGGACACTGCCATAAGGTAAGAATTAGCTGATGGCAGTCCCAAAAAGTCACTTTTTCTCTATGCCAGGCAAAGTGTTAGCCACCACATTCAGGCTCATCAACAGCTAAAACTTCAGCACGCCTCTGCTAGGGAAAATGGGGGAAAAAAGAAGCTGCCTCTTTAATGCACTAATTACTATCCCGAAACACTAATGGGATTAGCTAGCAGGATTTAGTGGTTGCCTCCTGAAAAATCATTAAGTGCCATTAGAGAAAATTAACCTCCCCGGTTCTCCGAGCATCTTTCGGGAGCCTGGGTCCTTCTGCATCAACACAACATGCTCCCGGTAGGATGCTAGCACAACGGAGCCCTGTTAGTGGTGGCTCCATCTTCCCTCTATTAATTCATGAACCATAAATTTAAGTTGCAGCACCTAAGGGGGCTGAGCACCCCGGATGGGGAACACCAGAGACACTGGGCAAACGGGACGCAGCTGGACAGAGGCTGAAGGAAAGCAGATTCCGATGGAGAAAATGGGACGTGACTATGTTCACGCAAACCCTTGTTTACGACTTCTTCCCCACACCCTGCTCTTTCCCCTTGCAGGCATGTTGAGGCGGCCCATCCCCAGCCATCTCGGAGAATCCCTGGCCAAAGGGCTTGCTGGAATAAGGCCCAGACACCCATGTCCAAACCTCGCCCCAGACCCAAGTCGGGGTGACCTGGGGTGCGCAGTGACCGCGGTGGGGTTCAAAAGGCTTGGGGAACCAAAGGTACGCTTTGCCCTCGGCGAGACCCGCTGTGTTAGTGAAGGGTAGAGCTTGGATCGGATGCTGAAAGTCAAATAAAAGCATGAGAGGAGACAGGCTGCTCTCTGAGGCTTCACTCCTGTGGGGATGTTCGCTGGGGATGGCCCAAAGTCAACATGACTTTCCAGGGCAAGGGTGGACTTACAGGAGGCATCAGGCCAAAATAAGTTCATTTCCAAAATTAAAAAACCTTTAGAGACCAAAAGCTCCCAGCCCAGGGCAGAGGGACCCCCACCTTGTTTACACGTAAGGACCGCAGCCCGACCAGGAAACAAGTGACACCGCGACGCTGTGACCACCGGATACATCTTCCGTCCCAAACCCCCACTGGCTTGCCCCTGCCGGAACAGGGGGAGATGAGGCTCCAGAAGTCAGGAGCACCCCACAGGATTTTACCCCTTCACATGTCCCAGCCGGAGCTGCCCGAGCATCACGGCTTCCCTCGGGGGCCAGGCAGGGGGGTCGGGGCCCCCTGCCAGGGTACCCAAGATTTCCCCTGCCCCCACCAATCCCTTGGGGGCTCTGCACGAGCTTCTGGCACGGCGTTATTCTCCAAGAACCCCAAATTTGAGGGCAAGCAGGGCAGTTTGTCCCGCGGCTCCTTCTTCAGGAGACTAACAGGGACCAGCCGTGCTCCATCCCGACGCATCCTCGGGAGAGGAGACCACCGGTCCCCTCTGCCACCCCACGCCGAGGCAGGAGAAGGGTTTCCTGAGCAGAGCCACCAAAAGCACCCGATGGAGATGGAGCGGGAGCGTGTTGTGCCAGGGAGCCCTTTCCCTGCACAGCAGCAGCCTCTGCCGGCACCGGAGCCGCAGAGCAAGAGCGGTGGGAAGGAGCCCATGGCCAGGGGCTGAAGAGCATCTGCAAACCCCAAGCTGGGATGGCAAAAGATACTGAGGAGGTCTCCAAAACATATAACAGATAAAACGTCCACATTTCAGCTGAAGGAGGATTCCCCCGCCTCGCTCTCGCGTGCGCTCACACCCCTGCACAGATCTTAGGGACGGGTTGCGCG